TTTTAAAGATTTATTTATTTGTGCATACAGAACTGGGGTACAGGCCAGAGGCTCAGGGGTGGTGAGAGGCCTCATCAGAGACAGGGTGGGGAACAGAATAGGCAGATCGACGAATACACTGCTGAGGGGAGCAGCGGGCAGGTCAGGAGAGGTCTGCCACGCCACGTGGTCACCTCCGGGGCAGGGGGGCAGCGAACTCATGTGGAAGTGACTTTAGCTTCTTAGTGCTGTGCTTTAACCCGCTGCGCCACCAGGGAGGGCCAGGGTCTTTTCCTTTTTTACTAATTTTCCTTTTATTACTACTGGTATCTGTTTCTCCCCCACGCTCCTAATTTACACACAGGAATTTGTACTTCTTTCTCTAATTCAACAGAAATAGTTCTATCCTTCTTCATGGCTTTAGAGCTGACAGTTCCCTAATCATCATCACTAACCTAGAAGTCTGACTCAGGCTCTGGAACATAACTCCAGTGATCTAAAAATATCTCCACTTAAATATCAATTTGTTAAATCAATTTGCTTAAAATCTATTTCATTGATAAGCCAGAAAAAAAAATATCAATGGTTTCACTTTTCAGAGGAATGTAGAGGATCCAAATAAGGGATTGGGGTGGGGGTGGTGGTGGTGGTGGTGGAAATGTCATTATACTAAAGTAATTATCAAAATCAACAGGTAACTATAAACCAGAGACATTCTGCAGGGGGCAAAGAGGGGAGACGGATCTAAATGGGTGGGAAGAGCATAAAGGACTATGGTGATTGGTGGTGGAGTGGAGGAAATTTAGCGGGGACTATAACTGAAATGGAAATGCACTAATCGTACACTAATTGTGTATAGATATATATAATAAAAATGTATTTCATAATCTCTAAATATTATCTTTCACCTTCTGTCCTCATTTCCATTCTTATGTCCACCACTCTCTCAGTAAATCCAGGTCTTTCAGTGTCTTCCTGTCACCCATAATAATGAGTTTGCTACCAGCCCTGCATTTTCTTTCTTTTCAAATTAACTCATTTCATTTGCACTGTCACCTCACTGATTATTCATGTAGTTACATACTTAATAGTTCAGCAAATATATGAAGTATCCTATGGAGGTATACATATACTCAGATAAATAAATGAAAAGTGGACAGAGAAAAAGGAATGTAGGGATAAGATAAACATATAGTTAATTTAGTTCATGTAAGTTCATAACATGAGGTCTTAGATAATTACTGTGTTGGAACACAAAATCTTGTCCTTGAGCATTTAGTAGATGAAGCAAAGAAGGAAAGTCCCAGCCACAAAACTGATAATGACCACAAATCAAAAAGCAAGCAATGTAAATCATTTTAAATCATTAAGAATGACTCCTAAGCCATAACTCCTATGAATCAGTACTGGAGAATAAAGTCAAAATCAACCTCACAATAGATTCCATATCACAGGTTTTTTTTTTATTCTTCTTTTAATGTTATCCAACTGAGCAAAACTATTGGAAAAACTAAGGCAGTATGAGTCAGGTATGTAGCTATTTGATGCCTTACTTCTGAGGTAACAAATTTCACTGAAATACCAATCATAGTCGTCTGGTAGACATGCTGTGTTAAGATGCCAGGTCCAAAATAGACAGGACTATATAACCAACAGTGTCTATACTGGCAAACCATGACTAAGAAATTGTAACTTCTTTTTGTAATGGGAGTCTTCTTCCAAATGAAGTATTATCTGAAATTGTAGTGTATCACACTGATAAAAGCAGAGCTGGGTTGTACTGAAAGCACTTCCGTGAGGTTTCTAGTCGTGTGAAAACACTGGCATAAAAATGGGTGACTTGGGGCCCTCCCTGGTGGCACAGCGGGTTAAAGCATAGCACTTCAGCATGAATTCAATTCCCACACTGGAGGTGACCCACATGGTGCAGCAGACCTCTCCTGACCCGCCCACTGCTCTCCTCAACAGTGTACTTCGTTGATCTGCTTGTTCTGCTCCCCCCTCTGTCTCTAATGAATCCTCTCACCACCCCTACACCTCTGGCCTGTACCCCAGTTCTGTATGTATAAATCGACCATGAGCGTTAGGACTAGTGACTATGATTTGGAACACTGAAAAACTCCCACCTTGATTCAACATTTAAACTGCATTTATTTTTCTTCCTGATTCAGTTTTTGAGGGAGCATTTGCAAATAAATTATAGACATGATGACAGGCATGTCACATAGAAACAAAGTCTCTTACATAACATTACCATTATATTATGAAATCAATGGTAATTAATATCTAATATAGAGTTCATGTTCAAATTTTCCTAATAGTTCAAGACAGAATCCTTAAAATGTTTTCTCCCTCCCCGCTCTCACCATCCCATACCTAAAACTAGATTTAAGGACCAAAATGGGTTTTAGTCCCCTTTATCTATTCTGATCTTCAACATCCATATGTATTTAAAGGTAATTTTTCATGATATTAGATGTTCTAGACTTTAAACCAGTTGTTTGTAGAATGTACCAAATTTTGGTTCCCTCTTGTTTGTCTAGCTTTTTTTAAAGATACTCAAGAGCCAGTTTTTTAAATAGATTATAGATTTGGGTCTAGAATTCTTGGTAGATACAAGTCTCCATCACAGCCCTGGGGGCCACATTCCACAATCTGGTCACAGCATGGCCACTGTGATGTGAAACCAACCCCTCCCACCAGGACTCATGCCCCCTCTTACAACTGGCCAGGCATAGATTTATATCCACTAACTGTGCTTCTGCCTCCTTTCTAGTGCTTCTTATGCTGCTAAAGCATTGGTAGGTAAGCCAGGTCTCAGAAGGAGGGAGGAGGGAGGTGGAGAGTGACAATGCCAAGCTGGCAGCTGCGGGGGCAGTCAGGAGCATGGAGGTCAGAAGCAGGAGCTGCAGACACTGGCTGGCCAAGGTCATACGACAACAATTAAACCCTAACCACTGCTCACTCTCCTGTGGTGCGTGACCGATGTTCAAAATTAAATCAGCGGTCTTCCAAAGGCATATATTGTGAAGTACTGGCTCGAACAAGGTTTCTGAATGCACAATGCTGCCACCTGACATTGACTTTGCTTTTTGTTGTAGTTTTTGCTTATAAAAATAGTGGTTGTGTTTCACTGGCTGTATCTCTCTGAGTACTGTTGACACTAGCAGAATGTTTTTCTTGATCCATTTGCAGATTGAGAGAATCCAGAATCCAGATCTCTGGAATAGCTATCAGACAAAGAAGAAAATCATGGATGCCAAGAACAACCACATCATCAACGAGAAGCAGCTTTTCCATGGGACAGATGCCGACTCAGTGCCCTATGTCAACCACAATGGCTTTAACCGCAGTTATGCTGGGAAGAACGGTAAGGAGGGGCGGCTTCTGGCTGCTGCAGTGAGGGACTGGGCATGACACCCCAAGCGGGCCTGGGCCTCGCGTTCCCTGTGGCCATGCCCCTGGTGCCACCAAAGTTTCAGGGTCAGACTTACTAACGGGGACCAGTGATGTTGGGGTGGGGTGAAAGAATGATTTTTAAAAATTAGAAACATACACAAAAATATTGAGGTTTTTAAATAGAGGAGTTGCACCATATTTTAATGTATGTGACATATCAGCACATCTTTGCATAGACTAATGGAATCCTTAAAAATGTTTTCTTTTCACAGCTGTGGTATATGGAAAAGGATCCTATTTTGCAGTCAATGCCAGTTATTCTGCCAATGATAAATACTCCAAGCCAGACAGAAATGGGAACAAGCATATGTATTATGTGCGAGTGCTCACTGGGCTCAGCACACCTGGAAATCAGTCACTGATTGTACCTCCTCCCAAGGACCCCCAAAATCCCACTGACCTGTATGACACTGTCACAGACCATGCGCCAAATCCCACTTTGTTTGTGGTATTTTATGACTACCAGGCGTACCCGGAGTACCTCATTACTTTTAGAAAATAGCATCAAAGTTTCCTTTGGGGAAGACATTACACATTCTTATGTATCTAATTTTAAAAAAGTTGTAGCCTTTATGTTCTTAACTTACTCACTTCCTAGTCACCTCCTCTGGCTTTGCTTTCTATTGAGGTTGTCTTGATTGGTAGCTGTGCACCTCTCATGGGTTCAGGACCTGGGGCGCGCCTGTGAAGGACAAACCAGAGGGATGACTGTAAGTCCAGCATGCAGTAAATCTTTATTTTGTAGCATGGTCTTTATATACTCCACATTCTCAAGCAGTAACAATAGCATATTGACTTATTCTAACTCTGTATCTGGTGTTCTAATTCTTGGAACACCGTGTCCAGCCCTAGATGGCTGAGCCCTTGAACCCACCAAGACCCTTCTCTTGATATGTTCTTTTGCTATCTTTCTTAGATATGGCTGCTTGCTCGCATGACCTATTTTCTCACATTCTTAGAGCTCAGACCTGGCACTCGAGAGCATTCTCCCAAGGTGCATGTGCTTTCTCATGCCTTTTGGTATCTGAGTTCAGATGCCCATCAAGATCATGTAAGAGCTCTGCCAACAGGTAGCTCCAGGGCCAAAAGGCCAGGCAGTGCCACAGGGAGTCGGTTTACAGTGCACTTGGAAGCTAGACGTGTGCAGGACGCTGGAGATGTCTCTCCTGGGCTCTGGGGTGATGCCTGCACTTCAAGTGAGGCAGGTAAAGGGGCCACAGTTGCTGCTGTTTTAACACAGATGACTTGAAATGTTTCTTGCTGTTGCTGTTTGTCTTGTAAGCAGTTGGGCAAAGACCCCCAAAAGCTCCGGACAGCTTCCCTGACACTGGCATCTGCACTGAGGATTCACATTGAGACAGAAATAAAAAGGAGGGCCCTTCTCTCCAAGTGCCCGTGTGTCCCAGGGGTTGGAACTTGGGACAAAACTGAACATAGGGTGTGTTGAAATGTTACAGTCCAACAAATGTTTGCCTTTCATCTACAGAAATGTTATTCACCACCTTTCTGAATAAAAATACTTGAAAAAATCATTGAGTGGAGTCTGATGAGAAACACAAGCCACAGTTGTTTAGAACAAAACTAAACACCCTAGCATCAGGGGAACTTCAATATAACTACAATATAAGCACAGTGCTGGGTTAATTTGGGAAATGCAGGGCACATGGCTTCCAACAAGCAGCTCCTGCTCAAACAAGCCTACTTGGAGCTTGTGGCAGGTCTTGGTGGCCTCCAGTGATGGCAAAAGCAAGACATTTTTGGTATTTGAATCACCTGAGACTTGCTGAGACTGCGAGTTCTCACCTACCCCAAAGGAGCTGATTGTAATTGTAGTGTCTAGAAATCTACATTTTTAGCAAACAATTCCTTCCATAGGACCCCTCTTATTGGACCTCATCCTTTTTTCCTGATTGGTACTTTACTGCAGATGATACACATTAACCAGTGAGATCAGTGCAGGTGTCACAAATATCACTTCAGATGGAGGTTAGAATCTACCCAGTGGAGATAGTGAGTAAAGAGTGGCTAACTTTCTGTAAGGAAAGTTTCTGACTTTGTAGCTATGAAGTTTGTGTTACTACTCTCCCACTATAAACCTAAGGTCTCCACAGACAGCAAGTAAACAACTGACAGGGCTGTGTTCTAATAAAACTTTATTAGCCAAAACAAGCAGCAGACAGACCTGTGCCTGAGGTTGATGGCAACCTTACCCTCTGTTGAGAACACTTGGGGGTTGACATTTAATAGGTGAAAAGGATAGCATGGGAAAGGTAAAGGCTCTGAAGAAAGAAGGCCTACAAACAACAAAGAGCCAGTTGGCCAAACAGTGAAGAACATGACAGAATGTAGGCAAGACTGAAACTTTGCTTTTTCATCTTTTTTTTTTTATCACATTACATAAAAAGTGTTTTTCAAGATACTATTTAAGAAGTCTTTTTCCTTAAAATCATAAACTTCTTCCTTGTATCAAAAGTTGTGCCACTATCCTGGTAACTTTTGGGTTCACCAAACAGTCCAGCAAGTCATCTGTGGAAATGAATGTTTGACAAGGGGCTGGCGTGCTATTTGAAGAAGTTTGTTCCATCACTGCATCTTCACTTTTGCTCATCATTCGTTGCCTCTTGATGAGATGCAATTTTCTAAAATGTTCTCCATCTTGGCCAACAAAGTCTTTACCATCACTTTCAAGTAGGCCTTCTTTTTCTGAAGGTAGTTCTTCAGCACTTGGTACTACAGGAACCAGGTCAGGACCAAAGCAATCTGCTACCTCCTGTTCTGCTGTTCCCAGGGTAAAGTGGCTACCTGATCCTTCCACTTCCACAGGGTTGTGCATATTTAATTCTTGCTTTCTCACATACTCCCTATTTGTTCTTGGTACTTGGATTTCTGCCCTCTTAGATGCTGTGCAATGATCCAAGAAGGCAGAAACAGCTCCATTTAAGTATTGACAATTGACTTCATGAGATGTTTTTTCACCCTAAAGGGGGAGAAATCCTTTAGAATGGTTATATGTACTTATACAAATTAGATAAACAACGCTTTTGTCAGGGTTGCTTTACCACAGGAAATGAACTGCAGAATGACAACCAGAAGCAGCCTACCTCCGTTGGGTTTAACCAGGCTCTGGTATTCTGGGGATTCTCTGCAGTTTTTAGGGCACACACAAGCATGCGGGTGATTGCTTCTTCCACCCGGGCCAGGTGGTCCTCTTCCTATGATCGAAAATAAAAAGTACCTCATTTTCTTCATTTGTCTATCTCATAGGTTAAAACAGAAAGTAGAATCTCTGTTATGTTTTCTATTCTCTCATAAGCTTTTTACAGAAGAAATGCTATTGGCAGACCACATTTTTTATATATTCACTATCAACCTGCCATTTAGAAGAACTGAAAAGATAAATTTCACCACCCAAATTTAAACCTATAGTCTATCTATAAGACATACAGGCCTTATGATGTTTTGCTAATCTTTTATAGGCCTTACCATGTTTAAAATGAAAAAAAAAATAGTATTACACACAGAGAACTAACCTATGTAGTATCTGATATAATTATTTGAGGAATGGGAAAAATATGACAAACATGCTTGATCACAAGAAAAAGAAAAATACTGTATGATTTCACTCATAGCAGGAGCATAAAGGATCAGGAAAAAAAAAAAAACAGGAATTGCAATAAAGTAAAATGAAAATCAGGCCCTCCCTGGTGGCGCAGCGGGTTAAAGCACTGCACTAAGAAGCTTAAGCCACTTCCGCATGAGTTC